TTGAGATGCACCTGTGTATATATATATATATATATATATATATATATATATTTGTGAGTCCTTGAGAAGAAACAAAGGAGTCAGCTAAACCTGACTGAAAGACTGTGGCTATCCCTCAAAGCCTCATTTTCATTCATGGAAAATGTAATATGGCATCTACCGTAACTAAGATGTTTTTAAATATTGCTCCAAACAACATTTAATGGTGAGTCAGTAATCAATCACTGATTAATCGATACCTACCCTGCAGAACCTCTTCTGGTCCATCTAATAGCCAGCCGTTCCCTCCTAACCACCGTGGCTTGGGTTGCACCAACCAGTCCAGCACTGACCAATAAGAAATCAATACACAATATCAGCATGGTTAAATGTATTCAGGATTCACCATATACACATCCAACTCAGTAACTCCTACTTCATGAGAGGATCGATTAATTTTAACAATCCATTAGCACTATGCCTTGTAGAAATGTTAAAGCGGAAATTTCTGTCTATTGCTTATATTGATTTTTGCGCAGATCATGGTGTGTTTTATTACCGGGTGGAGGTTGTACTGACTCCAGGCAGGTGTAGATGCAGCCGTTGTAACAGCACCGTTTGTGTCTCTCACACTCAGAATCGGACCAGCAGCCCGGCACCTCACAGGCTCGCTCGGGCAGTATCTGCGGTGGAGGAGGACAGCGGTCGTTCTTCTGGTGCTGAGTGGTCTGAGGATGGTTGGGGTACTCATAGTCCTGAGACATTGAAAGACGACATATGTAAGGGATATTATTATTAAGATTTTTAAAAATGTTTTGTACGTTTTTGAAAGAAGAGTAATATTGTGACATATTATTACAATTTAAAATAACTTTTTCTCTGAACATATATTTAAAATGTAATTTATTCGTGAGATGCAAAGCTGAATTTTTAGTAGCCATTACTCCAGTCTCCAGTGTTACATGATCCTTCAGAAATTATATATGCTGATTTGGTGCTTTAAGAAACATTCCTTTTTGAAAACATTTTTCCTGTTTAATATTTTTATGGCACCCTTGATACACTATGATTCAAAAGTTTGTAGTATGATTAAAATATATATATATATATTCAGCAAGGATGGATTAAATTGATCAAAAGTGACTGTAAAGATATGTATATTGTTACAAAAAAAAAGTCTATTTCAAATAAAAGCTGTTCAATGAACTTTCAGTTCATCCAAGAATCCTGAAAAAATTGCATCATGGTTTTCACAAAAATATTCCAGCAAATAGTTTTCCACATTGATAATAATAAGAACTATTATTAATAATTAAGGACCAAATAAGCATATTAGAATGATTTCTGAATGATCATGTGACACTGAAGACTGGAGTAATGGCTGTTGAAAATTCAGTTTTGCCATCACAGGAATAAATTATATTTTAAAATACATTCAAATAAAAAAGTTATTTTTAAATTGTAATAATATTTCACAATATTGTTTTACTGTATTTTTGATCAAATAAATGCAGCCTTAGTGAGCATAAAAGAAAACATAAAAAAAAAAAAATAATTATTCCAAACACTTGTCTGCTGGTGTGTTATGTATATTATTTTTAAAGCTTCCACTAAGACGAAGAAAAAAAACCCTTTACATTAATTGTACAAAACAATCGGCCTAATCAAGTTGCGTAGCATTGGTTTCAGTTCCTTGAAGACCTGTCTGATAAACAGTTTCCATGGATGACATTTTGCATCTACAATAACCTGTGACTTTCTCTGATTTATCACTGTTAATATAACGGACACACTGTTCAGGAACATAATACCTCTCATAGAGATGCTGGGTTAGAAAAAAAGGCTTTTCATTCAAGCCTGGGCCTTTCTGCTCTAGTTTTCTTCCTCCCATGGGTTCTTCAATGGGCTCATAGATCTGCCTGAGCCAGGTTTCAGTTTGCACCAGAGGTACTGTTTAGGGGTGCATTTTGTTCTGAGAGTCCTCCTCCATTCTCTTGCTCTTGCTTTTCTTATACTTAAACTCATCAATTCTCTTGCTACTCTGGCCAAGTATATATACTAAACTGCTGCTGAAACTCCAGACCAGAGCTGTTTAGAATGCAGACATGCATGAGCTGGTATTCAGCACTTCATTCTTCTCCACAGAGCCTTTTGTTTCAGGCCCCAAGTCGAAATGTGGCTGTGATTTTGTTTACTTATTAAATTATGGGTTTGTGAACTACATGCATCTTAAAAACTCAGCATGTTCACTTGGCAAGTTTGGAGCTATGCTTTTGAACAAACTGTTAAAATAAAAGCAAATGTCTGGCATAAGCCCATTGTGGTTGTTTTTGTAATAAAGTGAAAGTGACGTGACATGACATGTGGCCAAGTATGGTGACCCATACTTGGAATTAGTGCTCTGCATTTAACCCATCCAAAGTGCACACACAGCAGTGAACACACACACACCGTGAACACACACCCAGAGCAGTGGGCAGCCATTTATGCTGTGGCGCCCGGGGAGCAGTTGGGGGTTCGGTGCCTTGCTCAAGGGCACCTCAGTCGTGGTATTGAAGGTGGAAGAGAGCGCTGTACATTCACTCCCCCCACCTACAATCCCTGCCGGTACGAGACTCGAACCCGCAACCTTTGGGTTACGAGTCCGACTCTCTAACCATTAGGCCATGACTTCCCCAAATTAGCTTAGATTCAATTTTATGGTCTTTTTACAGAGTACAAGAAAAATGAAATACAGTCATTATCATACATTATCATTTCATATATACACTACCACTCAAAAGTTACCAAAAGTCTTACCAAAAGTGGGGTTAGTAAGATTTTTAATGTTTTTGAAAGAAGTCTCTTACGCTCAGAAAATAACTGTTTTTCATTTTAATATATTTTAAAATGTGATTAATTCCTGTGATGGAAAAGCTTAATTTTAACAGCCATTACTCCAGTCCTTCAGAAATCATTCTAATATGCTGATTTGCTGCTCAAGAAATACTTCTTCTTATTATCAATGTTAAAAACAGTTGTGCTTACATTTACATTAATGCATTTATCAGTTATTAACACATTTAATTGAAATATAGGCTAGTTTTTTGTAATACAAGTCTTTAATCTCAGTTTTGACCAAAAGTATTAATTTCTTTCAAAAACATTTATTGACCCCAAACATATAGTGTATATGAAATAAATGTATATGTGCAATTAAATATAATATAACCCGTTTTCTATAGATATACTTTCTAAGTACATTTTTCCTTGATACCTTCATGAATGTATCAGTTACATAACAGCAATGGTCTGTCAGACTTGGGTCTGTAACCTATGAAGAAGGTTAGATCAATATATTATGATTTTTGACTTCCATCAACATGACAGTAATTCAGCATACTGTTTTACCAGTGCTGACAATAAAAATATCAGTGACTGTTAAGATCAGTCTGCCTTTGCTTAACGTACAGATTATATTTTCCCAAGTGTCTCTGGATGAGGCAGAGAGGAAGTGGTAGTGTGCGCTTCCTGTCTGGAATAGGTCCCCTGATGATCTGCTGTTTATGTCTTTCTGCTTATCTCTCCCAGATCCTCTGTTCCTGCTTAGAAGATATCAGAAGCTTATATAACAGTTTGTTTCAGTCCTCTGATTTAATCAGACAACAATACTGATACTTCTATTAACAGCACAGGAACTTTCTAATGTTTGATTCTGCTTTCACAGTGTTTTAACACAAATGTAAGCAACATATTGTAAAAGAGATCTATACAGTGACAGTCATTGAGTGTGGACCCTCATTTTTCTTCCATGTTCGGTGAAAAATGTCTGCACAGTTAATTAAGAGCAGCCTATTATTTTAATGTCACCAATGCCGGGTTAAGCACTGCAAAATTACACTCCCTCACCCTCCAAGGAGCCACAAAATATCCTTCATTTCCCATTTAAATGCTCCACCCTGTTACTGCTCTACATACTTCAGGTTCACTGACTTGAGGCCCCTATTAGTATGGACGGTAAGATTTGAACTAAATACATGTTGACATACTTAGCACTCTGTAGTGTGGTCTTCCAAGCAATCATTAAGATAATTACAAGAGGAAAACTAAATAGCCCCCTTTCCCCTCTCTCTCTCTCTCTCTCTCTCTCTCTCTCTCACCAGTGAGCTGTGATTTAAGTCTAGACGTCTGCACGTTCATTTCCTCCCGAGTTCTGGGTATTTTACAGCTTGTTAGGTGCTTCGGTGGCTTGGCTCAGTCTGAAGTGAGTGGAGTGAGTAGGACAGGACCTGTAGATGATTGGCAGATCTGAAGATGAGAACAGAAAGCTTGACGAGGGGCAGGGTGAAGGTCACTTGTTTCAATGTTTCACCGCTTTTCCTGATAAGCTACGGTAATCCCTAAACTCTTTTAAGAAATGTAGCAGGTCCTTTGTTTTGTACTACCTCAATATTGACATGCCATAAGTTTAATTGCCATGTACTTGTTTGAAACAATATTTTCCTTTGCCTTAAAATAATTGTAATATGCATAGTTTAAATTAATGGTAATGTGCATCATGTAGTGTCAGCCGGGTGTAGATGGGTTTTGAACATACCATGCTCCAAACATCAGCACAACAGGACACTGCCTAGCAACACCCTAGCAACCACGCAGTACACTGCCTAGTAACAACCTAGGAACCATCCAGATCACCCTAGCAACCACATAGCAACACCTTAGCAATGACCCAGAATACTCATGCAAACACCCTGCAAATCCAATGTGTAGGTAGACTTTAGAAATAAGCCCTTAATGAAACATTCATGTATTGTATCTAAACGTTACAAAGAAATGTTTTCTTATTGTTCTATGTGTATTTAAACATGGCCTCCTCAGCTGACTGGGATTACTGTTGAACTCTCTCTTCAACAGAACACATGACTGCTGTTCAACTGCTTTAGGCTGAACCCATGTTGGATATTAGTTAGAATTGAAACACCACAACAGTCAAATGCTTCTTTAAGAACATATAACTTTTGGTCATATTTTATCACACCCAAAGCTTTACAGATGAGCTGAACTCTCCCAATCTGTTCTTTTGTATGCAGTGCTGGAAAGACTGAATCATTTTAGTAAATCAGTTTGTTTGTTTGTTTGTATGGTTCATTTAAAGGGGTCATATGATGTTGCTAAAAAGAACATTATTTTGTGTATTTGGTGTAATGAAATGTGTTTATGCGGTTTAAGGTTAAAAAAACACATTATTTTCCACATACTGTACATTATTGTTTCTCCTCTATGCCCCGCCTTTCTGAAACGCGTCGATTTTTACAAAGCTCATCGGTCTGAAAAAGCGAGGTGTGCTCTGATTGGCCAGCTATCCAGTGCGTTGTGATTGGCTGAATACCTCAAGCTTGTGATCGGAGAAATGACAAACAACAAGCGCTACTCTACACTGCTCAAAACTCGCGTTTGAATCGTCAGTGGCAAATCCTTTAAATATAAAAAACGTACTTACAGTCTGTGAGTCAGAACAGCCGGCATTGTAGTCTACTCTCCCAGGATCAGGAAACAGTCCTCCATAAAATGTGCTGCACACATCTGAATATTTGGGTTGAAGTGTTCTGGAACAGTGTTGTAAATACAACTTAACCACTGATTTCTAGTCGTGTCCTCTTTTGGAAGGCCAAACAAAGTAGTTTCGCTTTCACAACGAAACACACAGC